ATATGATTGATTGAACAATGAGATGATAGTTGGATCAACAAAATTTGTTTTATGTCAACTATGAATGTTGTTAAATGAAATGGAACTTTTGGTCAAGTAAGCAAATTTTTCAAACAAATTATTTTGTCTCTTTGAATAGGTTGCTTATTTGGAATGAACATATATTTTGTTGATTTCGCAAAATTTCGTTCAATTTGACTAAGAAAAACTGACCAAAATTATGTGTATAGTTTCTCGCTACATCGAAGGAATTTGCTATCGTGCTTATTGTCTATTTGCAATACTTTCTGTATGTAGAGCGCGTCTCTTTTCAAACGCCCCCCTCCTCTATCCTTATAGCACACTGAAGTCACATGGATGTCCATAGGACGTCCCGCCTGGACATTTGTACATGCAATTTTTGTACCGCGGACATCCATAGTACGTCATACCATGAAGAAACTACCAATCAGGGAGCGAAATACAAATTCGAAAACACATCATATTATTATCCAGTGTCCAGTTAACTGCCGAAATACAAAATCGAAAACATAATGTTTTCTATTTCCAACACGGATATTTCAACCAATCAAAAACGTGTATTTTGAATTTAGTGGAATTATCGAGAAAACATTAATCAATTTGTAATTCATGTTATCGAAACCAACACATCCCTTCAGTTTTTTTTTTCTTCAAAATTGAAAAAGTTGGGAGGGCGTTCAATTCTAGAGGCGCACCCTGTATAGCATGGCGGATGTTTGTTGTTATTATATTGATGTCTGCGAACATTGAACAAATACGGACAGTTGATTGAATGATGTTACAAAAGTCATTATGGGAATGGCTAAAAAATAATGTCCAGGTGATTGAATCAATGGCCTGGGTTCTGGATATGATCACTGCAAGTGATTGGTCGATGTACAGAAAGTACAATGCTTGGTATTCATGTACTCATGTGGGATTGTATCGATGAAAATGATGATTAACTAATACACAATTGACATAAAAAGAATGTTTCTCGTTTTATAGTTCAGATGATCAAATTAATGCCTCTCAAGGATTGATATCGCCACTTGAACTTCAGGCATTCATTAACAATACATCAAATCAATGAATTCAAGCATCGGTTGAAAATTGATGTCGAAATACATTTTCACGATCATTATTTTTATCAAATGTACGTACCTTTTTGGTTCTGTGTATATCTCTCATAATGACCCTGGTTGACTCAATCAGTCACGAATATTCATTCAAACACCCTGTAGTACGAATATATCTGAATATTTTTCATGCGAAGAGGAAACCTCACGTACCTCATGAATCCCTAGTATAATTGTTAGATATCGTTCTATTCGATAGAATTATCGTTATTTTCCAAAAAAATCTGACTGACAACTCTAGATATTTATTTGACAAATTCCTGACTGCCTTATACATAGCTAACTCGTTTCATATGTATTCAACATATTCTACTGAGTGGCTCTAACACCTCCCTTTTCTAAAATTTCCTGACTCATAATCTTGAAGATTCTTTGGTAATCGACTTTCTCTTCTTTCCCTCTGACATCTGCCTTCCTCTGAGCTGATCCCAACTATGTCACTGACACTTTTTGTTCACCCAGTATGACTTGACATTGAATTTCACCAAGTAAATCAACTTCATGTCCAGAAGCATTGGATGCGACTTCTGTTGTTTGTTTGATGTACGGTTTTCCAATTTCGTTCCAAATATCCTGATCAATGATTGTTATGTCTGACGCAGAATCGAATTGAAATGAGACTGGTTTACCATTCATTGAAACATTGATGTATTTTCTTGAAGAGTTGATATGATTGACGAATATGCTTTTTGTGAACTTTTTCTGGAATCTCTTCTTGAATTTTCCATCTTTTGAATGAGGATGAAGTGATGATCTTGGTTTGAAGCATGAGCAATATCCTTCCTTATGTCTCATTTCTTGGAATCATCGTCGACTTCAATTTGTAAATATGCATCTGACGAGTCGAGATTGCTGAATAACACTCCATGAGAAATTTTTGAAAATATTTCTTAGGGAATTGGAAGTGGGTACCGATGTAGTTCTAATGCATCATTGAGTCCAGTTGAATCATCGGCACAAATGCGAATTTTTCCAGTTGGTTTTCGAACTACCACTATCGGTGCTGCCCAATCAGAAAAATCGACGAGACTAATTGCTCCCTCATTTACAAGTCGATCTAACTCTTCTTCTACTGCTTGTTTGATATTGCAAGCAACAGGCCGTTTTGGTCGGAAAACAGGCTTAACTCCAGGCTTTGTATATAATTTCACTTTTGATTTGGTGCAATGACCCAAACCGTTTTTGAAAACTGCTGAAAATTTGGCTTGAAGGTTATCTATGCTGACAGTAGTGAATCCCTTAGAAACTGCTTCTGTTGTTTCTACTTTTGAACATACTGTATTAATTGGAATGTTCCAAAGTTCAAATGCTTCGATCCAATCGATTCCCATGATATTCAATTTGGAAATTGGAGTTACAATGATAGTATATTATTCAACACGCATTTAATGAGGGCTATTATTCAGAAAAATTAAAATTGAAGATTTGTCAACGACTGTTTTACTTCCTCAATCAAAACGATAGCCAGTTTTCACACTTGTGCATGAATAAAAGCTCTGAATAACCATTATTCACTGGACTGAAGTTCCTTATCAGTTTGTTATATCGCGTTTCCTATAGAAACTCTAGACCAGTGAATTATGGTTATTCACTTCTGATATTCAATGGTGTGAAGAATTGCTACCGTTTTGCAGGAGTTATCATAAATGCGACATGTTTTCTGAAGACGACTCTACTTGTATTATGAATATTTCATACAACAGTCGTGGATAAGCTGTGAGTATTTATGTTTCATATTTCAGCAATATTTTTTATTCTCATCCCAGTCCTATATCGTTCTTCCCGAGATGACATCATTTACATGCAATAAAACCGGAGCAGCCATTGAATACATTGAGGACTCCCATTCGCGCGTAATGACCCGAAACTGCAATCAATAAGTCATAACGAATGAGAAAAACGCTGAAGAAGGCCCTCTTTTAAAATGTTAAATTATCCCTCGTAAGATACATCTCATGTTTATTTAAAGGCACTTCTTTTGATTTTGGCTTCACTCACTGGCATCTGATTACATATTCAGCTTGGCTTTCCGACTAATGTAAAAATGCTTTTTGCTCTCCTTTACTAATAATAAATGAGCAACGGGAAATGGATTATTTTTAAAGAAGACTCCACTGCTGGTCCGAATCGCCAAAAATGTTATATTTGTACTGGTAGTTACACTAAGAGAAATTTATTAAATTAAGTCAAATAAATAATCAATCTGAGATTTCATGTTGACATAAATGTAGATTGAGCAGCTGTTTGATTCCTAGTGAATCAACTCTTAAAAGAAATTTGAAGTCGTATACCACACACTGTTTTATCTTCAATACAATTGACGCTTTCTGCATTATAATATTTATAATTGACTATTCCGAAGTACAATGCATGCTTCCTGAAATACAAGTGACTATTCTGAAATACAATTGTCGCTTCCTGAAATTAAATTGACGCTTTCTGAAATACAACTTGAAAAGGTGTAGGTAGAAGGTTAGTTAGATGGAGAAGAAGTTGTACCCAGGAAGCATCATCTACACCTTTTCTAACTGTAATTCAGATAGCGTGAATTGTTATTCAGATTTCTCGAAATTCAGATTTCTCGAATGGAATTCAGAAAGTGTTAATTGTTATTCAGATTAGCTAATTAGCTAATGATTGAGATTCAGAAAATATCAATTGCAATAAAACTTAGTCAAGTGAAATTCAGGTAACTTTAGTTGTTAATCAGATTCTTCAATTGAATTTGGAAATCGTCAAAAGAAATTCGGATATCGTAATTTGTATTTCAGAATGCAACAATTTTCATTCAGACTACGTTATTTGTAATCCAGATAAGTAACACACAATTCAGATAATATCAATTGTAATTCGGATTAGAGAAATGAAATTCAGAAAACTTCAATTGTAATCAAAATTAGTCAAATGAAAATCATAAAGCGTCAATTGAAATTCAGATATCATCAATTATGATTGAGAATGTGTCAATTGTGATTCAGACTGATGGATTTGTGAAGGTATTCATGTAAAACATGGAATAGGAATAAATGGGGAACTTTCTGAAGTTCAATTGACTAATCAGAATTACAAATGATATTGTCCGAATTACACTTGACGCTTTCTAAATTACAAAGCGGTGAAAATTTACCGAAAATATCAGGGCCGGTAGTTCTGAAAATAAATTAAGAAAAACCAAACAATCCGGAAAGATCGAATTTTCTTTCGTCACATCTTATAAGAACCGGCCCAGATATTTTCGATTATTTTCCACCACTACAAATGATGCAGATTTTTCTCAATTTACACGACCTTCCAACTAGTATGGTTTGGAAGTTACTAATATCAAATATCATTGAAAAATTTGCCATCCCATATAAGTAGTTCATATACCCCTTGAGAGATTTATGTTTTTAATGTAGGGGTATGTATAGGTTGATACAAATAATTATGTATTGAAAAGAAAATAGATTTCATGATGTTCGCAGAATTTTTCCATTTCGATAGAATCAAATGGAAAACTGGCACATCCTATTATTATTATACATATTCTGGAGAATTTCAAGTGTTTTTTGAACAAATACATTTCAACTCCTTGTTAAACACTACAAAGTATGACTTAACGCCTATTAGCACCTTGTATCGAGAATGATTGTTCTCCATCTATGAGAAAAAACCCAAAGATATTCATGAACAATTGATATATAAACTCAGGAATGGAGCTTTTATTTCCCAAATATTATATTCAGATCATCTGATTTGGCTTTACTTCAAATGTCAATACTGAAATAATGCTCATATTCGTATTCGTAGGAATGGGGAGAGAAAACCCAACTAATTTAGGAGAATATACTACTTTCAATGTCATCAAAAATTGAAAGAATGATCATCGACTATTATCATTGTGGATTGTGATCAAAATCTGGCCAACTCTCTATTATCCTGAACAATTTCTCTCCTGGGCATAAAGTTGCACTACCTTGTCTGTGTCCAATCAGATGGTAATGGTCTATGGTTTTATTTTCTTCTACGGCACATCTTATGAGATCTTTGAGTGTTTGAATCTGAATCGTTGGTGGTTCATTATCTGCAAACATAAATTCAGGGTACTTCAAACTTTTATGTCGAAGGAGAACCTGGGTCACATAATTTACAGAGGAAAATATTCTTACACGGTGAATACAATCACGTTTGAACAACGTTCAATGAATGAGATACAACGGAAAAAATCTTTTTTAGTGAAGTGTACAGCCAACTATTATTCATTCAAATATCACTGACTTATTTGGAATGAACTCTTCATTCTCCTATAGCTAATTTAGAAAATTCAAAGACAGAAAAAGTGAATCAAGGTTCGATTCTTCTGATTATTGTATACGCCATCTTGATCCATTCTATTTCGCATCAAGTTTTTTTGATGTGAGATTATGAATTTTGCAAACAATACCTCATGGTTTCCCGATTACCATTCAGAATTAAGACTTGAATAGGTGGTATCCGATTCAATGAAAATTGATTGGTATATATAATCAATCGATTTTTTCAGGATCTCTTTCTCATAGACTTTTTTCCGAAATACTTGTTTTTCGAATTGATGCATGAATACTATATTTTGGAGTTGAATTGACAGATGAAAATTCCAAGATGGCGACTGGGCGCCATCTAGGGAATGAAAAATGGAAAGGGAGATCTTGTCATACATCTTCCTGAAGCTCCTGACGAATACCTCACAACCCTAGAATATGAAGTGAATATCTTCACCTACTACGAAATTGTTTCTAGGTAACACCACGACTCCACAGGAGCAATTTGAACTCTTTGAATCGTGACAGAATATTTATTGATAGTACTAAGAGCAATAATATTGCTTTTGGGTGTATGATGAATTGACATTCATCATACAGGGCGTGGAAATGAATTCTGAATTGAGACTCTATCACGAATCTGCGATTAGAGGTCTATAAAAATCACAAGTTTCCATCGTTCAAGTTTGAACCCCCTGATTGGGTATGAAAGTGTTGAAAAGGAATATTCTCAGATGAATTATGAACATACAAAAATGGATATATATTTATATAAAGCAATACATTGAGAATTCGCATTCTCTATGTGATGAGAATATTTACTCTTTTTCAGATATAATTCAATGTTCGACGTGGCAAATAGCCAGGAAAGTAGTTGTTTTCTGTTGAATATTCAGAATGATGTGTGTATATACATATTTTTGTCTGAAGGAGAATGCAAATTCTCAATTTCAAAAATTTTTATATTTTATTTTCAAACTCTTATCGTGTGTGTTCAATAGATATAATTCAATGTTCGTCGTGGCATATAGCCAGGAAAGTAGTTGTTTTCTATTGAATCAACTGAAAAAGAGTAAATATTCTCATCACATAGAGAATGCGAATTCTCAATGTATTGCTTTATATAAATATATATCCATTTTTGTATGTTCATAATTCATCTGAGAATATTCCTTTTCAGCAATAATATTATTTCTCCTGATAGTACGTTAAAGGGTCACTACATAAACCTTGATGTGAGTCAGAGATGAAAATACGATATATCAGGTCATATAATATTGCGTATGAATTCATTATTCCCCTTGGCCCCAATATTTCTCTATCCACAGTATTTTGAAAATAAGTTTATAGGAAAGATAGACCTCATTTTTAATGTACTTCCAAACCCAGAGAACAATTCAGGATCACCGTGTACCCATCTCACCTTGATAGTTTCCTAATAAACATATGCCCAAGCTTCTATTATTGTATTTTTTCACATGCGCACCATGTATTCCCCAGCCTCTACCTTCATAAACTTGTCCATCCCCTCCAATCTGAAAACGACAAGAATTTCTTCAATCACATTGATAGACTTGAACTCAGGTTTATTCAATCTCAATTTTTCATATTACAAGGTGTGATGAATATTCATGAGATGAATAACAGATTGTCAATTGCCAGTAGACGATCACGTTTCTAGATCAATCCAAGTCGATCTTTGGTCATATTGGTTCATCAACTCAATCATGATAATCATGTCATGCCATCGCCCTCTATATAGTGGCTCAAGATCGAAGATATTCAAATCTTTGGTCATATTGGTACATCAACCCAATTATGATAAACATGTGATGCCATCACCTTCTTTATAGTGGCTCAAGATCGAAGGTATAATTAACAGGTTAGAAGTCCACTCATTCTATCCAAATCACTAGCGTCGTAACAGAGATCATGTGAAATGAACACGGAAAAAAATCATCTGGTTAGTATAGGCACAACCAGATATCTTGTGACACTTACCATTTTTTATTGTTTCTATAGCCAGAATATCATTAAAGTTACCATTTGATATGGTGACAGCAACAATGTGTATCTGGTTGTGCCTATATTAACCAGAATATTGTCACAGTAACAAAAATTTTTTACCGTGAAAGGTATTATCCAAATTGGCAACATGAACAAGAACACATTCGAAGTTACTAGATGTTTCGTCTAGTAACTGTTGTAGATTGCATGTGGAGGCCCTATAGCATCTAGCAAACATTGACAAAACCAAAATCAAAAACCAAAATTCAAAAATGTTTTTTAAAATTATTTGGGGCCTAAAACCCTTACGAACCATGTTATCAATTTTATTATTTCTTTCCTCCTGCTACCTAGCAAGGTATGTCACAAATTTTCCAATAGCTGCGTAATACAACTATCTACCAAACCTGGTTTGTGTATAGAACGGCAACATTTTGGAATTCCCTACCTAGGAATGTAATTTCAAGAACAACTCATAAACTTCAAACTTTTGGAAACTACCAATACTCAATACTCATACCTTCTCCTCCTTATCTCTCTAGGTACACACATACAGAATATGAAATGGCAATCAATTTCGCATACTATTTTGTATGAAATATCATTATGCCTGATAAAATCTATTGATAAACAATAGATTATTGTTTATAACAATGAAAATATCGAAATCAGTTTCGAATTATTGATTCAACAATTCTAGAAATATTTGTAAGCAATTCAATGATACACTATGATTTTCAATAGGATTCAGCAACGTTATAATATAAGCTGAAGATCCTGCTGATTTCAGAGATTTATTTTCGAATTTTCATTATCGCATATATACAAATATCAGAAGATAAAGAATAGTATTCTACTCGTGCAGAATAGCTATCATCAACTGTAACTTTCGGTACGAATCAAAAATAAGCATATATAAAAGTTAGTACTCACAAGAAAATTATATCCTATATCTTCCCATTGATTATCAACAATATGATATATTTGTATACTTTTGACTAATTTTCTACATGCGGCTTCCGTTTCACATGACTGAGTTGCAGAATGATGAACTACGATGAATGGTGGAGGATTTAAACTAAGAGGCTTGACGCTCACGGGTGCAGATGCATTCCATTTTTCTCTGGAGATCATACTCGGGCATTTACCTGAAAAACGAAAAGATTAGATTCAACTTTCTGAGAAAAATAAGACAAAAAATCTAGATCTCCGTTTCAATTATTATCCTGGTCGAGATATATCTGATTTTGAAATTGTAATGACGTATTTCGACCCAGCTTCATAACAAGACAGGATTGGATGACCTGAAACATATTTGAGTCGAATCTCAATTGTTCGGAAGCTCGAAACCAGTATCTCATCTAAACATCATGGCACCTCTAAATACTCCAATAATTTTCAACCCTTTGCTTATGATGTGAATTTTTGATGAATTACCTATCTTTTGGAAGTTTGGATGTTCACCTGTTCATAACTTTCTTGTTATAGAATATTTTCCAGTTGAATTTATTCAGAATAGCATGAGCAAAGGTGGTGTATTATTGTTTTCCTGTGCCGATTTGAGTGGAAGGGTATGTTTCCTGAATGTTTGTGAGTTTGAGGACATGTGCTTTGTGGCGCAATCCAGCTGACATAATTGAGGATTCCAACCAATCAGATTCAAGGATTTGACTGGCCTTCCTGAAAAGACACTAGAGACAGTCTGAGGAAACTTTTTCTTGCTGAGCTCACTTTCTGATCTCTTTGTGCTATCCAGTGACTCATGTTTTCCATCCCGACCGCGAGCTTCCAATTTATTCCAGTATGATTATAGTGATTTTCGTGTTCGACATGTGGGGTTGACCTTCTAAAAATCTTCCACCTTCAATATTTTTCTCCCCGTGAATAATATGGAAAATCGAAAAGATAGGTCGATTTAATTTTCAAGTGGGAAACTTGAGATGTATATTTTTTGCCCTCTTGGTTCAACTCCCTATAGTCAAATGGCACATCATTTTGAAGCACGTTCAATTCTCTTTCCAACACAATCAACTATAACATGTCATATAGACGGACAAGTCGGTACGTCAATATTTCTGCAAGGCGCATGTGTAGGAGAAATATGAAGGTCATGCTCTCTTTATTTCTTTAATTGAAGACCTGAATGAGATCTTGGATGAAGGTCTTCGAGAAGTACAATTTCATGAGTCTCAAAGACAACATGTATGTCTTTAGGGTGCTTTTTATCTAGGTCCTCTAACCTGAAGACGTGTACAGGCCTAAAAGGTATTCAGATCTATGGGTATACGTAGAAAGAAGCGGGGGATTGGTGGCCCTAAGCATTTTTTTATAAGTAGATTATTTCATGGTGATCACAATAACGAGGGAACAAATAGACATGATATTCCTGTTGATGAAAATTTTTTGAATATCTGGAAAGAAAAAATATTTTTCACCGAATATATGAAAAGAATGGATGGCTACCGTTTGGTTGATAGATCTGCTACCATTAATCAATCGCAATGGCCCCAAAAATTTGAATAAGTATAATTCAAATGTAATAATCATGAGTTAACATTTCCTTCTCAGAAACCAAATATTTATTCTGAGCCTGTTGCATTTTTGTTGCTCTGTTATCATTTCAATATGCTTTTTCTGTTAGCCTACGATAAATTATTGGCATCTGGTATAGTTATTCATATACCAAGGTAGTGGAGAATAGCATTATTAACCAAGGACCAAGCAGCCGAGGGGTATGAGGTCCCGTGGAAAAAATTTTCTCCACTACCAAGGTGTATATTATTTTGGTTTCACCACTAGCAATATATTGTAAATATAATGTGGACCTATTTCTCTATGAGATAATTTCTTTTCAATCCTAATTGAAATCAAGTTACCATGCAGCATATGACAAGTAAAATGAATACAAAGAGCTCAAAGTCATTTCCACACGACGATGTTCATAAAATGAACAACAATGGTATGACCATTGTGTGGAAATGAATTTGAGCCTTTTGTATTTATTCAACATTTCATTCCACTGTGAGCATTGTAGCTATTTCGTAGTTGATATGACAAGTATAGTTATTGATAAATACCTACTAGATTCGATTGCCACTTTTGTGAATATCGCATCAGAACAGTGGATTCAAGTTAATTATAACAGAGGTAAATACGTCTTCATTGACTAGTGGTTCATAGATTGACGAAAACTACCATGGTAGTAAAAGCACACTTAACGCCTCTGAAAGGAATGAATAATGGTAGATTCTATTGCTCAAAATAATGTTTCATCCAGCAATGGGGTAATAATAGTTTGTCAGCATTACCCCCACAGGATTGTTCATCATGATCCCAATAATAGTTATTCATATACAGGGTGTTTCATAATTGAATGCTGATCCTGAAGGGTGATAATCCTTGGATGATTTTAAGAAAAATTCTTCATGTGAACATAGGTCCGTAACAGCTTCGTTTCTGAGATACAGGATGTTGAAATTTAACAAAAAAATCAGTTATTTCCCAATATCTCTGAAACCGCTCTGGCTTTTTTCTCCATTACAAATACTTAAAAATAGTTACCATCAAATTATAAAAATATTGCTCAGATCTTTTGGTTACCACAATTGTGAAATTATGACTAAGAGTAAAAATCGGATAGGGACAAGCAAATGAATGCATTTTATTTTCTAACTCAAAAACCGTTCGCCGGACGAAAAAAAGACAAGAGACCATTTTTATGAGAAGATGGAGGATAATTATAAAAATAATATTCATTTGGAAAAAAGACAGTGGCGTATCATTATTTTGATGAAAAATATGACAGGGTATGTTAACAAGGACACCACTGATGGAAATTAAGAAATCCTTTATTATGGAAAAAATGTATTTCTATTCATACTTGGCATGTACCAAAATTGAAGGAAAGAGCCAGAGCGGTTCCAGAGATATTGGGGAATAACTGATTTTTTTGTTAAATTTCAACATCCTGTATCTCAGAAACGAAGCTGTTACGGACCTATGTTCACATGAAGAATTTTTCTTAAAATCATCCAAGGATCATCGCCCTTTAGGATCAGCATTCAATTATGAAACACCCTGTATATTAGGGTAGTAGAGTTCCGTGGTGAAAATATTATTTACTATCAAGGTGTATATTATATAGATTGTTTCCATCACTAGCAATATATTTCAATCATTATAGTTATGTGAAACTGAAACATGGACCTTTGTCACTATGAAAGCACTTCTTTCCAATTCTATTTAAAATCTATAGTCACCATATATGACAGCATATCACAAGTTGTTATTGATAGATACTTACTAGATTTGAGTGCCACTTTTGTGAATATCGCACCAGTAAAGTGAATTCGGGTTAATTATAACAGAGATAGATGTACCTTCATTGACTCATAATATGACGAAAACAACCTTGGTAGTAAAAACACACTTTATGCCTCCAAAAGCAGTAGATGATATAGCTATAGCTAGTGGTGAAAATAATGTTCTATTTCTCAAGATAATGTTTCATTCAGCAATCCTGCCAACATTACCCCGACACGACCGTTCACCATAACGCCAACATTTCTTTCAATCGACATTTATTAAGAAAAATATCGTTACCATAGCATATTATTGTTCACAAAGTTTCAGTATGAGGTATATAACAGTGATTTTTGAGTTTGTTTCTCAAAATATTCTTCTTCATCAAAAATATCTTAGGCGTTATATATAGACATTTGTTACAATCGACGACTGTAGAGCAAATGAAATGAATTAGTTGAAACAGTTTTACTCGTATTCAGTTCCTATTTGTGGATGAAAAAAACAATACTTCAGGCTCAACTAACAAAAAGAGGCGAACTATTGGGTGGCAACTATCACGGAAAAAAAGGAATTGTTGAATCAAGCAAAATTTAATTGAATGGAGCGAATAAAAGTGTCATATATGCACGACAAAATATAATCTTGAAATGAGTAAATCTATATCTTGTTTCAGAGCGAATTTGAAGTTTGAATCAAGTAAATATGTCTTGCAATAATACACTACACTGTTTTACCACTAACCAAACCGATTTTTTAACGCCTGGACACGTGTTTCGCTAACTATGTTAGCATCTTCAGGAGAAGATTAAAACTAAATATCCTATTCTAGTGTGCTGCTTATATACTAGGTATATGTGTGTGCTGCTTATATACTAGGTATATGTTCACCCTAGTATATAAGCAGCACACTAGAATAGGATATTTAGTTTTAATCTTCTCCTGAAGATGCTAACATAGTTAGCGAAACACGTGTCGAGGCGTTAAAAAATCGGTTTGATTAGTGGTAAAACAGTGTAGTGTATTATCGTGCCAAAGGTTCCAGTCTTCGATATATGTCTTGCATTAACTCTGGATCCTCTTCAATCAAGCACATTCATGAATTGTTTATGAAGAGATATTGAATTGGATCAAACAATCATTTTGTTTGATTCGAAATAACAAAATATTGCCTCAATCAAATATTCAGTTGATTCAACGAAATATTTGGTTGATTCGAAGGAATATTTGGAAGATTCAATGAAATATTTGTTTGATTCAATGAAATATTTGGTTTATTCAATGAAATATTTTGTTGATTCAAGAGGAACTATATATCCATTCGACAAATTATTTTGGTGAACCAAATTCAATATCCGGGAATGTTCTGAAATTTCACATCAATAGAATAAACAAAACTAAGAAACAAGTCGACTTCTAGCATAGATCTTCAGTCTTTACTTCTCCTCAGCTGATGGAAAACTATTTCGAATCAGGCTTCACGTATATAATGAATTCGAGGCAGGCATAGACGGGGCGAAATGATCGCCATCTAGAGGCGGAAATTCAAGTTGATGTAGAATGAACAAAATATTTCATTGATATTACATATTTCGTTGCTCTATTCAAGCAAATGATCCGTTCGAAACAAGTTCATTGCTACATCGGAATAAGAAAACTTGCATGTTGTTTCAAAGATATATTCCCATCAAAATGATCATTATTTGATCAAATCAACATAATGTTTATAGTTGAATCAACATCGACATTATCTTGGATCAACATAAATTGTTTTTGATAAAACCATATATTTTGTTGATGGAATTGATATTATACTGTTGATTCAATTAGACTACATTCTTGATTTGAACAAGCTGCTTCCATGAAATGATCATTCATCTGGTTGATTCAACAAAAAATTGCTGAGTCCAACAAAAATAATTCAAGCATAAATAATTTGTTCATGCAACAAATCCTTTTTTTCCGTGATATTACCCTATTGGCCACCATTTTCCCGATTACCCCTTTGTCCAGTGCTTACTGGGCTATGGAACCCCCTGTATAGTTATTATACAAATAAAGAATACTCACATGTTATTTCATGAAAACTAGACGCCAAATATACCAATAACAGTATCTTATCGAACCACATGACTCGAAACAAAGTCAAAACGAGAAAACTGTATGATTATGAATCGTTAGTTGATGAATATGTAAATATAATCTTCACTCGCATCTGGACTTGGTAATTCCCCAGTCCCCAATGAACGAAAGTATTTGTGATAGTATAATTGATTGATTCTAGTCACAAGGTCAATGGAGATTTATTCAAATGGACCAGTATTGTTTCTCCAGATTGGAATGTTATGTGCTGGCTAATTTGCTGATTTGGTACGAAGTACCTCGAGAACCTCTTGGAACCGTCAGCCCTGTTAGCCTGTTATTCTTCAGTTTCTTGAGATAGATCAGCGGCGTTGTAATAAAAAAAAGAGGTGGATGAATCTCCCCACATGCCAATAAAAACACACCAAGTTACTACACGTTTAACGTTCGAAAAATGTATGTCTTATACCAAACTTTCAATTCATGATGGTAAGAGTCATTATTGAAGTTATATTGAATGAATAATTTATGGAAGGCGCTCTACGATACGCTTCTTGGTGCGGCACTGAGATCGATCTCAGAATTTGATGAATTCATATGCCTTAATACTTACGATCTTATCTCAGCAGTTATTGATAAAGGTATTCTTTAATTCTTAGACCCCGTTGACCCGTTGACGTTAGCATAGATGTTAGTGATACCGAATTCAACTAATAGTCCAAGAGCGAATTGACGGGGATGAGGTTGTCTTTGCAAATATTCAAACGTGCCGCGATTCAACAGATCTAAGTTAGTGGCAGAAAGTCAATACTTCCGAGAATATTTGGGTGCGTAGCGCGATGTCCAATTCCCACGATGCCCAATTCCCACGATGTCCAATTCCTACGATGCCCACCTCCATGTCGACGATTACGAAGATTTCCGAAGAGCGCAACGTTGCCAGGTCAAGAGAAAATTTCAGAAAACACAAGATTCTCACCATGCCCACTTTTCATACATTCCCACGATGCCCAATTCCCATCATGCCCACTTTTCATACATTTTCACGATGCCCAATTCTCACCATGCCCACTTTCTTTTAGATTCCCAATGTTTGATGAGTGTATATATTGATAATAGTACGATTTGCCTATAACATAATAGCTGGGCAGATTTTTCATTCTTTTTTGAGGATTGGTTGGACTCTAGCTATTTGTCGGCAGGATGAAAAACACCCAAATTGTATGTATCAATTAGTGAATGACTTGCAGAGAATCAGCATTAATTTCATGAAATATTGATTGTCCCAGTGATTCTATTTTTCATCTATAGGCCGAAAAGTATGTGTCGAACAGTGTGTTATTGAAAGACGATTTCGGGCATTCGGGTAACAGAAGGAATATCTGGCATTTTTCTTTAGAAGTATTTGCTTACTATTCTGATGTTGTTTGCTGATATGTTTATGATAGTGAGAAAGAATACGCAAATATTCCATTGTCGACACCATTATAGGATAGGCCGGAAATAAGACGATACATGTAACCTGTACCGGTGATATGTGGGCAGCATTGGATGTGGACAGGAAAATATAAATTGTTGCATGCATTTAACTCTTTGAGTGGCGGTGGTACACGCGATGTACCTCCTAAATTGAACTCATCCAGCGGCGGTGGTACAAAAAATGTACCACGCACCCAAACTATTTTAACTTGAGTATTAGTGGTTTTATTCCTGAACCACTAGGACAGCGACATCTAAGGAACACCAGCGTTAGGTGAATCGAAGGGGCCTGTCGATTTTATCGTGCACACTGTTGCTGTGGTCATTCATCGTATTGTTTTGATGGAATAAGTGTTGTTGTGCATTGTGGAGGTTAATTACGTACAAATTGTCCATATTATTATAATTATCGGTATAATCACTTGGATTGGTAAGCATAATTGTACTTATACTAATTTATTTTGTTTATAGTTGATGGAAAACGAATTTTCTTGGTGGTATGTTATACGTACCACCGCTCCATATGTATTGTTCCTATATCATTCTGTATTTTCAGAGTTATGTCTGGATTGCAAGATGAGTTGCCTTTTCGATTGGTAGATATGTCTATTGAACAATTACAAAATGAGTTGGAACACTTCGATGATATTGTGGAACAGATACCATCGGGATCAGAATCTGAAGGTGACGATTCAGATTCTGAGACAGCTACCGAGAATGTAGAAGCGGAAGTCAGGGAAATTTTCATTTCTGAAAGTGAAGAGTCTGAATCCGATCAGCCACTAGCAGTGTTGAGAAACTCCATTATCCGTAATGCTTCCATCATATCTAATAAGAATATCAATCGAGTTTATGATCCACCAACATGGTCAAATGCTTCCAAACCGATAGCACCACCAATATTCACTCATCAGTCCGGCGTCCCAGATTTCATCAGGAATATGAATGAACCAATGCCTTATAAAATTTTTCAAGAAATAGTAACAGGGAAATTCATTTCCCACTTAGTATTCCAAACAAATCTATACGCAGAACAAATAAAAACGTCATCAGGCAAAAACTATATTCCTACGAGTACCAAGGAAATGAATACCTTTTTAGGAATCAATTTGCTTATGGGCATCAAACATAGTCCTAGCTATAAAGACTACTGGTCAAGTGCACCTGATCTAAATGACGCATTCATCTGTGGTCTTATGAGCCTGAAACGATTCAGTTGGCTACTGTCACATTCGCATGTGAATGACAACTCTATCATGCCAGGACGGTCATCCCCCAATTTTGACAAACTTTTCAAATTACGTCTCATGCTAGATGTTTTATCAGCTAATTTCGAAAAATGTTTGTTCCCCAATCAAAGAATAGCTGCTGACGAATCAATGATAAAATTCAAGGGACGTAGCAGCTTGAAGCAATATATGCCAAAAAAAACCATAAAACGTGGTAACAAAATGTGGATGCTTGCTGATAAATCTGGATACTGCTTGAAATTCGATCTATATACAGGCAAAACCGATGCCCAGGAAAAAAGTCTTGGTTCTCGCGTTATCAATCATCTCACATCTCATCTACGTGGAAAGGATCACATTCTTTACTTCGATATTTTTTTCAATAGCGTTCCATTGATGGAGGAACTGAAAAGACATAATATTCATGCAGTTGGTACAGTGAATATGTCACGTCGTTATCTACCTTCATTCAAGCCAGACAGAACTATGAACCGTGGGGAATATCAATGGTTCACAAGCAATACAGGACTAGCAGCCATAAAGTGGAAAGATAAAAGAACCGTGCACATGATCACCAACTTTCATGATCCAGAAAGTGTGAGTGAAGTAAAACGCAAAGAAAAATATGGCAACACAACTAAAGTCCCATGTCCTGAGGCAGTCATAGATTATAATCAAAATATGAATTACGTTGACAAATTCGATCAGCTCTTATCTAGCTACAAAATTGACAGGCGTAGTAGGAAATGGTGGCATAGAATTTTGTTTTACTTGCTTGACGCTGCAGTTGTGAATGCATATTGTATTTACAAATTACTAGATTTACCAAAACTTACTGCCAAAGACTTTCGACGTGCTGTGATAAATGTTTTTTTGGCAGAGCAGATGGTTTGTAAAAAAAGACAGTCAACAAGTATGCCGTTGGAACCTAAAGAAATTAAAAAATCGAAACCTTTTACCCCTGTCGAAATTCGCCTAAATTCGTCAGCGCATCAACCAGAACGTAGCTCCAGAAGGAGGTGTGCTTTGTGCAGCACGAAAGTGAAGCAAGTACGTACAGACTGGATTTGTTCGGTTTGCAAAGTACCATTGTGTTTGTCGAAGAATAAGTCATGTTTCCAGACATACCATACGACCTGATAACATTTCAAATAATTAAAATTAAAAATAATATAGCATATAGATTTTGTCCCTCATGTGTTGGTGGTACATTTCAGATACCACTCTATTACACAGAAAAAAATGACTTTATTTTTTAGAAAATGAGTTCTGTTATGTTTATTATACATATTCAACACAATAAGATCATCAGATGCAAGAAAATTGAATAGAATTTTTGTTGCTCCACTTGGCGTTTTAATTTGCTGGATATTCTGCTCCTCAAAGAGTTAAAATTTCAACGATGGATAGAGCACATCAACTGAGATTTCTATCAAGAAGGAGCTCATTCAGAAAATTGAAGAAGCAAGCACAGAAATTGAAAAAAAAATTGGTATTCCATTCGATTCATATTCTTATGCACTTTTGAAATATATATGTGAGCGGATTTTCGATATTCGAAAATTCAGGATGTTTTACTTGGAGTTCAGAATTTTCGTTAACCCGGACCTGGATTTCACTCGTGTCTGATAGGTGAGTCACATGGGTAGGAGGAGGAGGACTTTTGTACCAAATTTTGAGAGATTGTATTGGGTTGAATTATGATCGATTTCCGATAATCCGGACCTGGATTTTTCTCGTGACTGATAGAGGAGTCTTTTGAGTAGAGAAAGAAGGAATTGTGTACCAAGTTGCAAAAGAATATACTGGGTTGTTCGTAAGTCTCCTGAAGAATGGAGCAAAGTTGATAATATACCCTTATCTCGGATATAAAACTTGTGAGATCATACAAATATGTAATATTCGGAACCACCTTGATGAACTCTACCTACCGTTGAAGTGTTTCTGTTTCCCAATGGGACACCCTGTATGCATTTGGAATGCATTTAGGAAGTAATAATGAGTGATGTTATCAGACACTATTGCGTAGATTTAATCATCATAGGATTAAGTGATTAACTATATGTTACCAGTCGGTAATAAGACGATACATGTATAACATGTCAGATACATCACCTGTACCAATAATAAGTCCGCAGCATTGGAATTGGATATAAAGAGAAGAATATAAATTTTTATATGCATTTGAAATGCATTTGGTGATATTCCTCATCACCTATTGCGTAGATGATTCAGAACTGTCGCACCTCTCTCTCCAAAATATAAATGCAGTAGGTACTCATAAAAACAGTGGAAATGACGAATATCGTGTTAATGAATATCCCTTGAAGGAGGGAGTTCCAGCCAGCTATCGAAGTTTCTCAACAAATTTCTACATTTGGGTGAATAATGAATCAAATTAGCCGAAGACTCAGATCTTCGACAGCATCCATAATTGAATTCGCACCTGACATCCTCGAAACTTAATGTATGATAATGAATATATGATAAGGGTGGAGTAGAGCAAAGGAGTCGAATTCAATTGCAACCCTTTGAGGCTGACGGCAGGAGACTGGAGGTCTCTTGCGATAGTGAAATGAATTAGTTCTCACAGCAACAATATCAAGAATCAAATCGACATGGAAACAATTATCATGTACCCCATATAACGTTCAAAATATTTAAAATGAGTGATTCCGAATATAAACTCGATCGCTGTTTTTGTCATCGTTTGTAGCGCACGAAAAGGAATGTCTATGATGTTTCATTTCATTTCATTTCATTTCATTTATTCATTCCAAATATGGTCAAATTACATGACATGTGGACAAGTCACTAAAAACTAAAAACTACTACTAAATACTGAGTACTATA